GTCAAGCATTAAAAAATGCTCACTGATCCACTTCTGGAATTATTTTCACTATCCTTTTTTCACCATCCACTTTTGTAAGAGAATTAGGGTTTAAAAGCCATGATAAAATTTTAAGACCACTTAATTATGAGGAGCATTAGTTGTCAAGGGAACAATATATCACGTTAGAATGGCTGATAGACCATTTACAGAGGGGGGGGGGGGTGAGACCTGAAGATACAATTAGCGGGGCATATACTTGCTCGTGTGGGTGAAAATGTTTGTCTTTGAATTCATCCCATAACCTTGGGGGGGGGGGGAGGCACGCACCAGCTGCACCCCCTCTGGATAAGCAACGGCGTTCATATTGAGAGACCTGTGGGTATAATGCCAGGCATGAATTATGAATCCAAAGAACTGCAATAGCTACTGAACTTGATGTACACGTACACTCAATAGAGGTTTTGCAAATGGTGTGAGAGTCCAAGTGTTGGGAAACAGTAAACCTAAGCTTAGCTCACGTAGATTATCCAAAACAAAATGAAAGTGTTGGAAGTTCTACTTCTCATGGTTGGGTTTGAAGTCGGTGTTGCGACCATCTGCTCGGTGGGATGGTACCGATACGGCAATGCCTGCTACTCTGTGATAAAAGAACAAGGGGGCTGGCCTAAGGCAAATAATATCTGTGCTGCTTCTCATGCAAGCCTTGCAGTTCCCAACTCATTGGAAGAACAGACATTTATATGGGAATTATTCCAGTGGGAGTTTCGTCCTGATGGTCCAGGGACTGGAGTCTGGATTGGCTGCAATGACATCGACAAGGAAGGTGATTGGCAGAATTGCCCTCTGAGAGGTGATGGGACCAACGCGTACCAGAACTGGCAGGAAGGAAAGCCTGACAATCAGCGTGGTGGGACTGATTGTGCATTGATGAGCAATTCAGCGGTGGCATATGGAATAACCAGTTATGCACCAATCCAAGATATGCAACATGTGAGCTTGCTATCATCGACTACGACCCTCTATTCTGCCTTCAGATCGGCTCCAATGGTCGCATCACCTCCCCGTGCCTCTCTGATAATCACGTCTTGATGGAGTTACAGGCTCAGGGTCTGGTGTCTTGTGGCGAGGCCTGCCTCTCTCATCCCAAATGTAGCTCCTTCAATCTGAAGGGCCAAGGCCAGGGCAAGACGGTGTGCCAGCTGAATGACCTCGCCCTTCAAAATGCAGCTACCGAAGATGTGGTGGAAATTGAGAACTGCTACGGCCTGGATCTGTAGAAACTGGTTGCATGAAGTAAACTGATACAAAAGATATCCTTCAGAATGCTCTGATGAATAGATAGATGGACTGACATTTTCAATGCATTAGTACACGTACATGTACTTGTTGTGAACGGCTAAGATTTTGGAAGGATTTACAATTTCGGAAACACTTGTACTAGTCTGTAAGTACAAAATTTGTCTTAGTGAGTGTTGTGACTGTTTAAAGCAATTTGCATAGTATTTTGAATTTTTTAATTGTTCAGATGGATAGCCTGCACATTTGCAGAAATGTAGCCAAAAAGTAGCCACAAACCTTTGGCTTTGTTTAATATGCCTTTAGTAAAAAAAAAAATGCTCTTTTAATAAATACTTGTAGATGTGGCTGACATATTGAAGGCAACGACAAATGGCATTGGAAGCTTAAACATTTGTGGCCAAGAGTGATTTACATTTTTTGTGGGAGATCTTTTTGTGAACAGTTTTAAAGATATAGTCAATCATTTGTAATTTGTGCAGTTTGTTCGTTTGAAGCAACAAAAGTGCTCAAAATCTAAAGAAGGGTACTGAACAACTAACCTGACGAAATTTCAGCTCAGCTTCAGCTGTATATTCCGAGAGAAACAGCATTCTAGGATCTCAATTTCAAATCAAAAGTTGCTGCATCATGTTTTAAATTGGGCCTGAATTCAGCGTCCGAGATACATGTACATTCTCACTGAGCCGATTGCAGCTAAGCGATGTCGCTCACTGATCCGACGCGTGCGTGTGCATCGTGCAAATGCTTGCGCGCACTTCGCCGAATAACAAAACGAACTGCTAATTTAAATTTCCTACACTGCGTCTTAAGAAGCACCGTTGGAAAGGCCTTCTTTCATTGATTACTTCAAAACGAAAGCTTTCCAGAAAGAATAATTTCATAGGAAGTTTGGTCCCTTACTATCTTTTAACCAAGTATGTTTATTCAACAATAATTGCGCCAGATACTTTTTGGATAGCTGCAAATGATGGACTGTAGCTTTAAGTTTGAAGAAAAAAATGCGATAGGGAATAACCACTGCAGTCTAAAGCCTTGTCCGCACTGGACTTTTTTTAACTGAGCTTACCCAGACGATGGGTACTTTTCCCATTTTAAGTCCAGTGTGGACAGCCTGGGACTTTTTCCTCTCAGTTACTTTTCCTGAGTCCAGCACTTACTTCTACTGGCCAACTGCTGCCCAGGGAAAACTGACCATGCCACTTTTCCAGATGCAACAAGTCCTGTACAGACAGTGCGAGTTGGTAAAAAGCGGCTCAGGAAAGCATACATCCGGCCCGAGCACGAGGTCAGGCGTACACTGGGACCACACGAACATACGTGCTGTGGCCGAAAATTTTGTAGAAACACACTGCAGCGTATCAAGTCCGAGCGGTAAAATCTTGCTAAAAATATTTTTAACGAAAAATACATACACAGAAAAGAGAGATCACGTTCTGGGAATTAATTTGCAGAAATTCTCTTTTTTCACCGATGTTTGTTCAAAAGGTATTTTCTAATATCAATATTTGTCCTGTTACGCAATGTAGTTATGCATCATGGTACTTGTATGTAGGTCGTAGTCACTGGTTCCGGTCCTACTTAATAGATTTGATTCTGTTAGCATGCTGTGGGAACCAGCGAATACACAATAGCTGCCGTATCGCACGGAACATTGTACAGCAGCATGGCTTTGATGTCGTGCTTCACAAATGCATCAGAAATGTAGGCTTTTTCGTCAATATTTAGCGTGTGAAGATGAATTAATATCGTGTGTAACGATTGTATTGTGCATGTAAATGGCGTGTGTAATATTACACTGTGCATATCGAGGGCTGAAAAGACTACTACGTCATTTGAATACGGAGCATCAATAGACCGATTGAAACAAAAATTAGAGTAAGAAAAGAATGATATTTCATGCCCCGTTTAAGCCTTATTAAGGAACATACCGGTATGGCGTCGAGTGGGATACCTGGGCACATTAGACAAACTAAGTGGCAGGCACAAACAAACGTGCTTAGTTGTTAAGGGAACAATTTCACGTTAGAATGGCTGATCCACCATTAAGAAGGGGGGGGGTGTGAAACCTGATACAAGCGGGGCATATAAAGGGTGAGTAAAAAAAAAGCGGAACCCTATTTCGTATCTAAAATAATAATGACTGGCAAGACAATTTCATTGAAAAAAAATACTGACATTGCTCAATCCGTTCAAAGAATATCGGCATTTAAACGCAATGACCCTAAAACCTGTTTCGTCCAAACAAAATCCAGTTTATTGTGTATTCTGACTGTTTGGAACAACAAAGAAAATGACACAGAATACTTGTTTTTTCAACAACTGTAGTGCACAATATCTTTATTAACAACCCTGGTTAGGCAAACAATATAATTTAAAGAATCCACTTTTTTTTTAAAAGATGGGCCTTCAAAAGGACTTTGTTGAATATTTTTAACTTTTAAAACTACGGTTTTATCGCTGGTGATGTTTGAAAACAATTGTAATGGCGATTCTTGAAATCATATTTTTGGACGAAAGAGGTGTCAGGGTCATTTCGTTTAAATGGTGATATTCTTCGAACGGATCGAGCAATTTCAGTAATTGTTTCATCTAAAAGTAGCCTAAAAGTCATGTTTGGTGCTACCGGTACATGTTTTTTTTAAATATGAAGTATAATTTTGGGGGTTTGGGTTCCGCTTTTTTGACTCACTCTGTTTTTGCTCTTGTGGGTGAAAATGTTTGTCTTTGAAGTGATCACATAACCAGTTGACACTCGGAAGAAACAGGGGAAAAAAGACAAGACATGCCATTAAATTTTAAAAAGGCAGAACAAATAACTAATTGGGTTTTATATTGTTGAAACTTAATTAATGCACTAAAGGTGTTTACAATTGTCTGTAAATAGTTCACTTTTCCAGTTTTTTTTGGGAACAAAATATGTGGCTTTTTTTTTTTTATATAATTCTAAAACACCAAATGACATCACAGGGAAATCATTTGTATTTTGATATAGAGTTACACATGCACTTTATCAATTACTAAATGTGTTAAGAATCGAAGTGGGTTTAAAACTTCAAAATCTGCTTCAAAAAAATTACATTGATGTTTTTAGCATTCAGACTCACATCTAGCCATATATCATCAGATTCTCAGTTCTCTAGATATCACCTTTTTTTAAAACTGATAGGATGTGACATATTATGGTCAATATGACATCAGGGTTTGAAGTAAAATACACACGTACATGTACTGCTTAAAGATATAGTCGATCATTTGTAATTTGTGCATTTTGTTCGTTTGAAGCAACAAAAGTGTTCAAAATCTAATGAAGGATACTGAACAACTAACCTGATGAAGTTTCAGCTCAGCTTCAGCTGTATATTCCGAGAAAAACAGCATTCTAGGATCTCAATTTCATATCAAAAGTTGCTGAATCATGTTTTGAATTGGGCCTGAATTCAGCGTCCGAGACATATAAGACTATGTCTACACCAAGTTTGATTTTAGTAGACACGTGTACTATAGAATGAGGAAATGACAACAGTCTACAGACATACAGACAAACTGCATGTATAGGCCTATACAACGTCTGTGGAATAAGGGATGGCACCAAAGAAAAAAAATGTCATTTTGTTTTTAAAATTGCCATTTTCATTGCAGTGCGAAGAAAAGCTTCGTAATCACAAAGATTGACCACGAAAGCCATCAGCTAATGTATTTTTAGCTGCAAAAAGATATTGTCAAAAAATGAAATATATCAAATGGAGTAACCAATCTGCTAATTAGACCCCCCAGCCTAAGTAGGATTGCCAGAAGAACAAACTTGTAACAACCCCCGCATTGATTGCTTTGTGCATTCAACCGAGAAGGGTATTAGCCTCTTGCATTTCATTTTCTTTATTAAGAGTCAGTTGCTGCTGGAAATTTCCATGCAAAACACGTTTGTTCTACACTCTGAATTCATTGGAAATTACTGGCAGAAAAGCTCAGCAATACTAAGGCTATAAAACAAAACTTTATCCGTACAGCTGAAAATCCCTAATTATCAGAAACAGCATGGATGTGTTGAGTGTACTGCTTCTCCTGGCTGGATTTGAGGCCAGTGTGGCGACTGTTTGCCCTGTTGGCTGGCACCGATATGGAAAGGCTTGCTACTTTGTGATCAAGGAACTAAATAGTTGGCACAAAGCAACAAGCATCTGTGCCGCTTCTCATGCAAGCCTTGCAGTTCCCAACTCAATGGAAGAACAGACATTTATATCGGAATTACTCCAGCGGGAGTTTTATCCTAGTGACTTTCAAAGAGGAGCCTGGATCGACTGCGATGACATTGACCAGGATGGTGTTTGGCAGAATTGCCCTCTGAGAGGCGATGAGACCAACGCGTACCAGAACTGGGCGAAAGGAAATCCTAGCAATCAGTACAGCGGAGCTGATTGCGTATTGATGGCTAGCATTGCAGGTGGCATATGGTGGAATCAGCGCTGTATTAATCCCAGATATGCAACATGTGAGCTTGCTATCATCGACTACGACCCTCTATTCTGCCTTCAGATCGGCTCCGATGGTCGCATCACCTCCCCGTGCCTCACTGATAATCACGTCTTGATGGAGTTACAGGCTCAGGGTCTGGTGTCCTGTGGCAAGGCCTGCCTCTCTCATCCCGAATGTAGCTCCTTCAATCTGAAGGACCACGGCCAGGGCAAGATGGTGTGCCAGCTGAATGACCTCGCCCTTCAAAATGCAGCTGCCGAAGATGTGGTGGTAATTGAGAACTGCTACGGCCTGGATCTGTAGATACTGGTTGCATATATAGCAAACTCAGAAATGAAAGATATCCTTCAGAATGCTCTTATGAACAGGTACAGGGGCCGACATTTTCAATGCAAGTACTTGTACAAAACGCAGTGGTGGCTTACATTTTCACAGCTGAGAGTGAATGACTGTTTTGTGGGAGACTTCTTGTGAACTGCTAAGATTTTGGAAGGATTTACAATATCAGGAACAATCGCAATATACATGTAGTCAATAAGTACAAGCTATTCATTAGTGGATGTTGTGGCTGGTATACATTACATGTAACAGTAATGTTTGCCCAAATGTAGCCGTGCACCCTATGAGTTCATGATGTGAACAACGGCACAAAATGGCACATCACTTGAACAATTGTAATTGGCAAAGCTTTAAAAAATGTTGTGTGTTAGGATCAACATTCATGACAAACAATTTTTCAGCACTCAACTTTTACTTTGCACATTTAGCTGTTTTGAAGACAGAAACCTACAGAAGAAATAACTATATTTAGGTTTAATGTCGTTACAGTACTGCTACCTTTAATTAATGCACTGAAGGAGTTTAGAATTATCTGTAAATAGTTCATTTTTGACCTTTTTTTGGAAGCAAGTATTTGGCAATTTTTTTGTTTTTAAATCAAAGTCTGAAACATCAAATGACATCATCATGACATCACCTTTTTTGTTATGGTCCCTATAGAATTACACATGCAATGGATCGCATCATTATGACATCAGTTTTTTTCATGCATATCTTCATCAATGCCAATGCTGCCACAACATTATTTGTGTGAAGAAGTGGGTTGAACAAATTGCAACATCTCCTTCCCAAAAGATATTGATGTTGTTCAGCATTTATATATGTAGTCATGTACCATCAGTTATTTAGTTATCCACTAAAAAGATATTCTTTACACTGACAGGATGTGACGTATGGTCAATATGACATCAGTGTTTGAGGTACCGTACACACATACTGGTTCAGCATAGGGTCTTTGTCCACACCAAGTTTCACTAAGATATGAAAAAATGGGGAAGTGACAATATACAGAAAACAGTGTACAATGTTTTTGTATGATAGCCTCAGTATTGCTCAGGTTTTCTGCCAGTAATTTCAAATGAATTCAAAGTGTAGAACCAACATGTACTGCTTTGACATAGGGTCTATGTCTACACCAAGTTTGATTTTAGTAGACACGTGTACTATAGAATGAGGAAATGACAATAGTCTACAGACATACAGGCAAACTGCATGTATAGGCCTATAAAGCGTCTGTGGAATAAGGGATGGCACCAAAGAAAAAAAAATGTCATTGAAAAAAAAATTGCCATTTTCATGGCAGTGCCAAGAAAACCTTCGTAATCACAAAGATTGACCACGAAAGCCATCGGCTATTTTTAGCTGTAAGAAGATATTGTCAAAAAATGAACTATATCAAATGGAGTAACCAATCTGCTAATTAGACCCCAAGCCTAAGTAGGATTGCCAGAAGAACAAACTTGTAACAACCCCCGCATTGATTGCTTTGCGCATTCAACTGAGAAGGGTATTAGCCTCTTGCATTTCATGTTCTTTATTACGAGTCAGTTGCTGCTGGAAATTTCCATGCAAAACACGTTGTGGTTCTACACTCTGAATTCATTGGAAATTACTGGCAGAAAAGCTGAGCAATACTGAGGCTGTCATACAACACTATATCCGCATAGCTGAACATTCCTAATTATCTGAAACAGCATGGATGTGTTGAATGTCCTGCTTCTCATTGCTGGATTTGAGGCCAGTGTGGCGACTGTTTGCCCTGTGGGCTGGCACCGATATGGCAAGAACTGCTACTTTGTGATCAAAACAAAGTGGAACTGGTACACAGCGAAAAAAACCTGTGCCGCTTCTCATGCAAGCCTTGCAGTTCCCATCTCATCTGAAGAGCAGACATTTATATGGGAATTACTCCAGCGGGAGTTTTATCCTGATGGTCCAGGGAATGGGGCCTGGATTGGCTGCAATGATATCAACAAGGATGGTGTTTGGCAGAACTGTCCTCTGAGAGGTGGTGAGACCAACGCGTACCAGAACTGGAGGGAAGGAAGGCCAGGCAATCAGTACCGGTACAGGGGAGCTGATTGTGCATTGATGGTCAATTCAGCAGGTGGCAAATGGGGCAATCAGTACTGTACCAATCCCAGATATGCAACATGTGAGCTTGCTATCATCGACTACAACCCTCTATTCTGCCTTCAGATCGGCTCCGATGGTCGCATCACCTCCCCGTGCCTCACTGATAAGCACGTCTTGATGGAGTTACAGGCTCAGGGTCTGGTGTCTTGTGGCAAGGCCTGCCTCTCTCATCCCGAATGTAGCTCCTTCAATCTGAAGGACCAAGGCCAGGGCAAGATGGTGTGCCAGCTGAATGACCTCGCCCTTCAAAATGCAGCGGCTGAAGATGTGGTGGAAATTGAGAACTGCTACGGCCTGGATCTGTAGAAACTGGTTGCATGAAGCAAACTGATACCAAAAAGTCCATCAGACTGCTCTTATGTACAGGTAGATGTGGCTGACATTTTTAAGGTTAACACAAAGGGCAGTGGTGGCTTACATTTACATGGCTGATAGTGAATAACCTTTTTTGTGGAATAATTTGTGCGAACTGCTAAGACTTTGGAAGGGATTACAAAATCAGGAACACCCACAATAGTCTGTAAGTACACAATATTTATTAGTGTTGGCTGTGATTGGCATAAAAATATTAATGGTAATTTTTGCATTGTAATTTGAACTGTTTGTGGTAGAAATATTTAGGAAATATTGTGTGGTAAATAGAAACATATCCTCATTTTTGGTGTGTTAAAAAAATGGCATAAGAGGACGCACTAACAGTTGTGAATTGCAGCTCTTTCAAAGTTGTGTGTTGGGATCAATATGAGAACATAGTGTGCACTCCAATTTATTGCACTTTTTAATGTTAACTTTTTGAAAGAAATCTGTAAAAGAAATAGTGGATATGGTTTAATGTTGTTGCACTAATGATACCTATGAAAAGTAGGTTTTTATTACACAGAAAGTGTAATCTTTCTTTCCCATGTAGTAAAAAGAAAATGTTTGATAATTTGGTGCATACTCATGAGTCATGACAAATCTAACCAAATAATAAAAGTACTAATGAACACTTGGTAAGGCGTCAGTATCCGCCAGGCATGACGCTCATGGCGCATACATACAAAGAAAAACATAAATTACAAAAACGACGAAGAAGCAAATGGGTTTTGAAGGATGTTAAACATGGAAAACATGTTTGACTTACTCTATCCACAACATGAACAAGAACACTACATCACTGAATTTGTTATATTATGTCTTTGATGTTGTATTTTGCCTTAGATATTGCATTTCTTTTGAAAAAATTCTTGTTACACTAACAGTTGTGAATGGCAACTGTTTCAAAGTTGTGTGTTGGGATCAATATGAGAACATAGTGTGCACTCCAATTTATTGCACTTTTTAATGTTAACTTTTTGAAAGAAATCTGTAAAAGAAATAGTGAATATGGTTCAATGTTGTTGCACTAATGATACCTATGAAAAGTATGTTTTTATTACACCGAAAGTGTAATCTTTCTTTCCCATGTAGTGGAAAGAAAATGTTTGATAATTTGGTGCATACTCATGAGTCATGACAAATCTAACCAAATAATAAAAGTAATAATGAACACTTGGTAAAGCACCAGTATCCGCCAGGCATGACGCTCATGGCGCATACATACAAAGAAAAACATAAAATACAAAAACGACGAAGAAGCAAATGGGTTTTGAAGGATGTTAAACATGGAAAACATGTTTGACTTACTCTATCCACGACATGAACAAGAACACTACATCACTGAGTTTGTTATATTATGTCTTTGATGTTGTATTTTGCCTAAGATATTGCATTTCTTTTGAAAAGTTTCTTGTTACACTAACAGTTGTGAATGGCAACTGTTTCAAAATTGTGTGTTGGGATCACTACGAGGAGAACATAGTGTGCACTCCAATTTATTGCACTTTTTAATGTTACCTTTTAACAAGGAATCTGGAAAAGAAATAGTCAATATGGTTTAATGTTGTTGCACTAATGATACCTATGAAAAGTATGTTTTTATTACACTGAAAGTGTAATCTTTCTTTCCCATGTAGTAGAAAGAAAATGTTTGATAATTTGGTGTATACTCATGAGTCATGACAAATCTAACCAAATAAGGATGATAAACATAGAAAATATTTTTGATTTATTCTATCAACAACATGAACAAGAACACTACATCATCAGTCTGTGTAAAAATGTTGTATTTTGCCTTAGATACATTGTATTGCACTTGTTTTATAAAGAATTTCTTGTTAATTTTGTAAATGTTGTGAACTTTGCTCTAAACATTAGCAATTAACCAGAAAAGTACCTACCAAAACACGCGGGCACCTACACGCGGGCACACTGTTTTGCTGTCATTAGCAACAGAATGTAGTTATGAGAACCAGAAAATTCAGAAACATCTCGGAAGCTGCAGGCCAAGAATTAGTATTCATGTAATCGTGCATGAGTCCAATGATTGTGCCATGCAATTTCTGGAAGTAGTGTTTTGAGTAAAACATATCAGGTGTTTGACCCCAGTGACCCCATGATGACCTTTGACCTCACTTTGGTCATGTGACATGTTGGGGCTAGTGCTGTGCATCGGAACCGGGTACCCGAGTACCCGACCGTTGATGTCAGGAACCAGTTCCAGATCATGGAACCGGGTACCCGTAACCAACTTTACAAATTATTAACAAATTGATTTTTCTCTTTTTTGGTCACGTAAACCATTAAAATATTTAAAAATAATCATATCTGTGTCTTGGGTGGTTTTATTTTAATCAAACAATTCATGTTTCCTTGAAACAATTAGCGTTCATGAGTCAAGAATGATGATTACTTTGACGTCACTCGTTTCCTTCGTGTAAAATCCAAGATGGCGGCACCCACAGAACGCAAACGTGACAAAACATTACTGCCGAGTAAAAACTCTCCCAGCATTTATTACAGCGTGGCACCGCCGGATCACTGACATCACAGATTGGCAAGGATCTGATGATCCAGGCCATACCAAATCCACTGAAGAATTTGGAACAACTCGGCTTGATTCTGCAGCCAAATTTGGCAATGAAGTTGCCTTTTCAGCTTGTTCCACAAATTCTCATTGCACGGAGTCCACCCGAACGTAAACTACATGCATAATGCATGACGTGTGCATATGTGTACTTGTTCTTCATTACCCCTGAGGACCGACACACAAAGGGAGAACAACAGATCCTTTCAGTCCTTGGGAGTTGGGTCTTTTGTTCAAAACGGTCCTCTGTAGTAGGTTTGTGTGCTTAGTCTATGGGAGAGTGTTATCATGGTTATATTACAGGGACAAGGGAAAATACAAAGCATTGTCCTCAGGAGTGTGGTAAAACAAGAGTGTGTGTACTGTGAAGTGTGGAGCTGTCAAGTGGCTTGTGTATTTCTCATCTTGGGAAATTCCCTTAACATGATCACGTACACTGTACGTGCTAAATGACAGTACTGTCCTTTGAATGGCACGACTCCAACCCGTGATGTTTTAGGTGAAGGGATAATTCTCATCTTGGGAAATTCCCTTCTACATTGCACGTGGTTTATATAATTTATTCATTCGATCGCATTTTAGTGACTTTTATGTACATGTATAACTGACACTATGATGTGGATCGGCAAAAGATCAGAAAAAGTAGATAAGTATATTCCTGTAAACATCGAAGGCTATGTAAGGGATTCATTGTCAATGTTCAAACTTCTGGTATCCTGGGCTTTCAGAAAGCATTCACATGCAAATTAACAATCCTTTATTGGCTCCGTGCGCCAACGAAAGAGGGCACCCTTTTACCCAGCAACAACGTCCCATGGGCGGGACACTACATTTCAGTGGTTGACGCATGCGCACCGTTCCTTGCGTGTGACGCACGTACACCAGGGGATTTGTACTATGTACACACAGTGGCCGCGCTTCGCAGCAAAATATTGCAGTCAGGCAAGATGGCGTCGTTCCGTCACCCCCAACTGTACTTTTTTTGCCGGTGAGGGGGTACTTGTGAACGGAGCGGATAAGGCCCGGCGATTCTAGTTTCTAGACTTATGAATGGTGACGACGATTTGACCTGCTAAATATTCATTTAATGGCCCGGAAAAACAGCGCGCCTTTTCCCCCCATTGGTTTAAATGCCAGTGTAATGATATTCATGAGCTCATGCATACGCAACGAGGCAATTTAAGATGGCGGTTTAATGTTGTCGCGAAGTGGTGTCGCGAAGCGGCAAGTTTTTTCCATGAAGGGAAGGATGTTTAGTGTTGGAAGAATATTACTAAAATAATGATAAAATAAATTCATGAAAACGACTACACCTCTAAGTTGCTCTGGTGGCTTATTTCCGGACAATTGACAATGGTAGGCGCGCGCGTACACAGGCTTGAGATTTTGTTTTTGACTGCCCCCCCCCAAAAAAAAATTAATTCCTTGCCCCCCAATTGCCCCCTGCCCCCCCCCCCCCAAATTATTTACTGGGCTGCACCCTTGAGGCTAGCCCCACAAGCTGAAGCCAGCCTTACAAATCCAATTCAATGTCCATTCACTTACGTGTTTGTGGGACAAGACTTGGTCCAGCAGCACCTCCCTGGTCCAGAGCCGGTCCGGATCCTTCAGGAAGATCTCCCGCACCCAGCTCTGGCTGCAGATGGTCTTGAGAGTGAACTTGGCGTAATCACTCAGGCTGGCTGTCTCGATGGAGCTGGAGGATTTCGGGTCGTCCGTGAAGTCATCAAAGCTGCCGCTGGTGCCTCCGCCCACGCCGGCCTCACCTTGGTAGAATGAGGACACTTTTTGTTTGTAATCCACCAATTTTGGTGTTTCAGTTGCGCGTGCACACATCGAGATTTGGCAATTTTCCATTCCGGACAAACAATTTGGTGTATGCGTGGTACTAGCAGATCATACACGGTACCAGCAAAATTAAAGAAATGTTCTTGTTCTAAAAGTACATTTTAGTAAGTCTGGAAAGTTTGACATTAGTTACCTTGTTGACCCCTCATGGTTTGATCTCACTAAAACAGACGGGGAAGGCCAGATTTAATTATTTTTCAATCTCTGGTTCATGGCTCAGTTAAGAAGAATACACGAGAAAGTGTGGATTCATAATTTAAGAATTCACGAGGCGCGAAGCGCCGAGTGAATTCGTAAATTAAGAATCCACACTTGCGAGTGTATTCTTCGACTTAAACCACTGCGTCAACAGAAATATTGAAAAGAATGCTGCAACCTGACGCCACTTTTTTCTTCGTATATCATCTCAATGAAGGCCATTCGTTGCAAAAATGATGATAAGACATGAATCTGGGACTGATAAATGTTTCCAAAATTGTTAGGAAATACTTGAAATGACTCTCCATAGACGTTGTACACAAGCGCGGAAGTGGCGTCAGGTTGCAACATTGTTTCCTGACGTGTTTAGCATGTGTATCGACACACAGGCTCCTTACGTCAAAATGGATAGTTCAGACGACGATTTCTTTCTGACTTAAAGTAGATTTTGCAGTGAAAGCGGAAAATCTGACAGTGAAGATGCATTGGTAATTTTCGGAAAACAAATTTTCACGCAGACGGTCCTATTCATGCTCATTATGGAGAGCAACTATCCGACATGTTCAAAGTGTGGATTTGTAATACCGAATCCACACTTTACTAAAGCTTCGCCGTTCCGAATCCACACTTTGTGACCAGTGTAAGAGATTCGTGGATCCGAATCCACACTTTTAACAATAGTGTGACGTCATAGCAATGGTTTAAGAAGGATGAACTAACTGAGGGGTCCTAAAAGTAACAAACGCCAAAAGTAGGATATGACAGCTCAAGGCAACTTTCAAATCATGCGTGTAAACTGGCTTTCAACAAAAAAGTGACATTTGACAAACAATAAAACCACTCAAATTGTACGCATAAAATAACATCACAGGAATTTGCAGTCTGGTTCCCTGACCCCATTTTCCTTCCGACTTCAAAAGTGGGGTCCGCTAATTAGCGGTGGATCTGGAATACATTGCCCGGAATAATGCATGACGTGCGTAGGTCTGAAACCCGCCTCGCCTCGTGAATTCTAAACCACAACGGTAATGTTTGTGCGCAACCAGCCTCTTGCAATGGCCTGGCCACGAAAGTGCAATTTTGGAGGTCATGAGCTTCAATTTTTGCTAAATTTAAAAGTATCTCTGGGAAATATCAATAAAGGGAGAAATATTGCTGGTCAATATTTACAGCCTATGCGGTTGAAATGCTTGAAAGATGCTTTCATGGAGAAACTGGTGATTTTGTGCACTTTTTGTGGTAAGACAAGCGTGAGTTTCTTGATAATCATGAGTTCAATCACTATCGTCCATTCACAAAAGTTGAACAACGATTCACAAATAAACAATCGTGATGCGCGCAGAGGCGATCCAATCAATGTCTTTAAATGGGAACTAGTTACCAGTCCCCATATCTTAGGGGGGGAAGGGGGGAAGGGGGGAAGGGGGGAAGGGGGGAAGGGGGGAAGGGGGGAAGGGGGGGAAGGGGGGAAGGGGGGAAGGGGGGAAGGGGGGGAAGGGGGGAGGGGGGAGGGGGGGAAGGGGGGAGGGGGGAGGGGGGGGAAGGGGGGAGGGGGGAGGGGGGAGGGGGGGGAAGGGGGGAGGGGGGAGGGGGGAAGGGGGGAGGGGGGAGGGGGGGGAGGGGGGAGGGGGGAGGGGGAGGGGGGAGGGGGGAGGGGGGAAGGGGGGAGGGGGGAGGGGGGAAGGGGGGGGGGGGAGGGAGGGGGAGGGGGGAGGGGGGGGGGAAGGAGGGAGGGGGGAGGGGGGGGGAAGGAGGGAGGGGGGAGGGGGGGAAGGGGGGGGAGGAGGGGGGAGGGGGGAAGGGGGGGAGGAGGGAGGGGGGAAGGGGGAGGGGGGAGGGGGAGAAGGGGGGAGGGGAGGGGGAGGGGGGAGGGGGGGAGGGGGGGGGGGGGGGAGGGGGGGAGGGGGGAGGGGGGGGGAGGGGGGGAGGGGGGGAGGGGGGAGGGGGGAAGGGGGGAGGGGGGAGGGGAGGAAGGGGGGAGGGGGGATGGGGAGGGGGGATGGGGAGGGGGTAAGGGGGAAGGCGGAAGGGGGAAGGCGGAAGGGGGAAGGGGGAAGGCGGAAGGGGGAAGGGGGAAGGCGGAAGGGGGAAGGCGGTAGGGGGAAGGCGGAAGAGGGAGGGGGTAAGGGGGAGGGGGTAAGGGAAGGGGGAGGGGGTAAGGGAAGGGGGAGGGGGTAAGGGAAGGGGGAGGGGGTAAGGGAGGGGGTAAGAGGTAAGGGGGAAGGCGGAAGGGGGAAGGCGGAAGGGGGAAGGGGGAAGGCGGAAGGGGGAAGGCGGTAGGGGGAAGGCGGAAGGGGGAGGGGGTAAGGGGGAGGGGGTAAGGGAAGGGGGAGGGGATAAGGTAGGGGGGAGGGGGTAAGGGGTAAGGGGGAAGGGGGAAGGCGGAAGGGGGAAGGGGGAAGGCGGAAGGGGGAAGGTGGTAGGGGGAAGGTGGAAGGGAGAGGGGGTAAGGGGGAGGGGGTAGGGGAAGGGGGAGGGGGTAAGGGAGGGGGGAGGGGGTAAGGGGGAAGGGGGAAGGCGGAAGGGGGAAGGGGGAGGGGTGGGGGAGGGGTGGGGGAGGGGTAAGGGAGGGGGTAAGGGAGGGGGGAGGGGGTAAGGGGAAGGGGGAAGGGGGAAGGCGGAAGGGGGAAGGCGGAAGGGGGAGGGGGAGGGGGGAAGGCGGAAGGGGGAAGGCGGAAGGGGGAAGGCGGAAGGGGGAAGGCGGAAGGGGGAAGTGGGGAAGGGAGAAGGGGGGAAGGGGGAAGGGGGAAGGGGGAAGGGGGAAGGCGGAAGGGGGAAGGCGGAAGGGGGAGGGGGGAGGGGGAAGGCGGAAGGGGGAAGGTGGAAGGGGGAAGGCGGAAGGGGGAAGGGGGGAAGGGAGAAGGGGGGAAGGGGGAAGGGGGGAAGGGGGGAAGGGGGGAAGGGGGAAGGGGGAAGGGGGGAAGGGGGGAAGGGGGAAGGGGGAAGGGGGAAGGGGGAAGGGGGGAAGGGGCAGGAAACAGTCGAAGACATTTGTTCTGATCTCCTTAAGACCACTCCCATTTTTCAAATAAAACTTCATGATAACGTCAAGTTTCTTACCCAATAGCAAGATTGCCTTCAGGACACCGACCAACGCCTCCACGCTGATGCTCTGATGGGCTGCGGCCAGAAGGTGCTGGTCACATGACGACTTGACGTAGTAGCCGTTCTTGTCCGACTGGCCTGGCAACGGACCCGTGGTCAGCAAGCGCAGTAGTAGCCGGCACATGAGTCTGGCTCCGGGCTCTGCGTCTGACTCCATTTGAGTTCCAGCTAGGACCAACCAAAACAAAATAGACTGGTTTTGATTCTGGATTTTAAGTCGGTTTTTGTTGGGGTTTGGTTAGTGCTGGGGTTTCAAATTTGTTAAAAGAAGAAATTGAGTTTGACATTTTGTCGAAAATATATCTCATCATTGACCTGACAGACTGGCTCTTTCTGCATTTCTTTGTAGCAACCCGGGCCCAATTTCACGGGGCTGCTAAGCACAAAAATTTGCTTAGTAAAAAAAAAGTCTGGCTTATAAAAGCAGGTTACCAGCCAAAACTCCACGTGCTTTTCATACTATAGCAAACAACAGCTGAATACTAAATAATGAAAGGTTTGTGGAAACACCATGTGCGAATAATTTCTCAACTAAGAGAATGGTTCTGAAAAGAACCAGAGGTATAAACCTCTGGTTCTTTTCAGAACCATTCTCTTAGTTGAGAAATTATTCGCACATGGTGTTTCCACAAACCTTTCATTATTTAGTATCTCCACCACGCAAAACCTCAAATCTTACTTAGCTGAATACTAATCATGAGCAATATACATCACATGGAGTTTTGGCTGGTAACCTGCTATTATAAGCCAGACTTTTTTTGTGCTTAGCACATTTTTGTGCTTAGCTGAGCCGTGAATTTGGCCCAGTTGTGAAATGGGTCAATGTGTGGTGTTGGTGACAATCTCTTGTGTAAGAATAAGGAAATTGACTCTCAAAATTGGCTTCATGATAAATCAACGTCTACGCTCAATTTCGTGGCTTTGCTAAATCTACAGTACGTCCCAAAAAAGTGTCCGTCTGACTTTTTTTGTAATAACTACAAAACCCTGAAGTCAATTCAGGCGATTTACAATGCAATGCGCCACCAAGAGCTTGCCACGGAGAGTTCATTTTTCGCAGTGTATTGTGAGAGATAGTTGACAAAATCGCAGCGCGGGACGTTTGAAATTGTTAGTTTCTCCGGTCAGTAGTTTCATAAGCGAATGATTCGAGGATCTGTTTGTATGAATTCGAGGATCTGTTTGCTCTTTCTTTTCTTTTTATCAATATGGTGTTTTTTGTAAGGCGGCAGAACACCATGCCCAAACTATAACAAATTAGCTCAAGTTTTCTACTGACACTCATTGAAATGGGCCACGTTTTGTCGACCGTAAAGTCGAAAAATGGACTCTCCATGGCAAACTCTTGGTGGCGCACTGCATTGTGAATCGCCCGAATTGGGCAGATACTCCTTATCCTTGGCCTTATTAACCCCTATGAGTTTCATTTAATTTCAGTCGCATCACTACACAATGGTCAATTGATCACAACAACATTTGTGGACACTGTGACCAAGTTCCTTTCCTTAACCCTAACTCCCTAGGGGGTGTGCAAAATCATATTAAAATTGGAGTATTGAGGACTGTTAGGGATATTAAATTTCAGTACTGTGTTATGTAAACTATGTAAAATCCTGCATGTTGTGAAAAGCGCTGTGGTTGGGATTGGAATCATTTGCCTGGCTATCAGTCATCATGGCAAGACCTCAGTTGAATGCTCAAGAGCAAATGATTCCAATCCCAAACCACATCAGCCTTTTTTTCACAACATGCAGGATTTTACACAGCTTACATAACACAGCACTGAAATTGATTAAGGCAAGGAACTTGGTCACAGTGTCCAAAATGTTGTTGTGATCAAATGACCATTGTGTAGTGATGCGTGACTGAAATTAAATAAAACTCACAGGGGTTTAGGCCAAGGATAAGGATTATCCGCACGATCAAAAAAATTCAAAATTTACTTCTTGGTTTTGTAGTTATTACAAAAATAGTCAGACGAACACTTTTTTGGGACTTACCGCATGCTTATGATCACCATTATGTGCTTACAGTTCTAGCACAAACTCTGTGCATTCCCTATGAACAAAGAATTCTCAAGAGACACAACTAAAAGAATGTGTACAATGTGGGTGCTGTGGTCCAATGATTACGGTGCTCGACTCGTGTGCCGTGGTACAGTGTGGAGCGAAAGAATTTAGACTCCTGCGATAACACGCATACCACGCTATTTACATTTTATCACTAGCTAGGTTTAGCGCGTGTTTATCGCGCTAATCACGCGTGGTTATCGCGTGTACGCCGCAGTGTTTTTCACATGGGCACTGACAGAAAGACGGAGAGCGGCTCCACGCGATAATCACGCGCGGGAAAAATATGCGGGAACAGATTTGGCGCTTTGTCCCACGCGTGGCTCCACGCACGGCTCCACGCGCGGGGAAAACTATCCCACGCGTGGGGCCGGGGAAGACAGACCGCACACCGCCCCGGAATACCGGCTGGGCTTTGCGCCTGGGACGGCCGTCTTTGCGCCGTTAATTTCCCGCAAGTTGGCGGCTGAATGATGTCAACTCAAGGAGGCACAAGTTTTTACACCTTAAAAATTCCCGCCCAGTAAAAAAAAGTCGGCTCCTTCTCAAGTTCTATGAAAGAATACTTCCCAAGGCAGTACTGCCGTCCAATCAAACACAAGTGGAACGAAGCTGAATGTCAGAACGACAAACGACGACCAATCACATCTTGCCATCTCACAAATTCCTACTTTAATTGGCTGCAGACCATGACCCTTAGTCAACAAAGAAACTCTACACGGATGTAATTCGAGAAGTCAATTGGACAACAGAGGCATGCTGCCGACGACACTGCTATTAGTTGGCTGTCAATCATTCTTTGGGAAGTGTTTTTTTTTATTCTCCAGAGCAGATTATTATGAAAGATACTGGCCCTTTTTTAACTGGCTCTGTTCATATTCCTCTTTGAATAAAAACATGAATGAAAACTTGCAACTTTACCACAGCATCATTTTTTCGTATATGGGTCCGAAGAGATCTTTCCCCCTCATGTTATAATAGTGTTTTCCTGGTTTGCGAGAATATTTTTCCCGCCTAGTTTTTCTCGGTATAGAATATTCTGTTCCCTATCTCTTCAGAGAATTTATGTCCCAAATATTCTATTCCCATGCAGGAAACTTGAAATGTCCAGTCCCGAACAAAGACTCATTTCGTTCTTCGGAATAATACTTCTTTCACTGACAGAAAGACGGAGACCGGCTCAACGCGATAATCACGCGCGGGAATAAAATGCGGGATTAGATTTGGCGCTTTGTCCCACGCGTGGCTCCACGCGCGGGGAAAACTATCCCACGCGTGGGGAAGACAGACCGCACACCGCACACCGCCCCGGAATACCGGCTTGGCTTTGCGCCTGGGACGGCCGTCTTTGCGCCGTTAATTTCCCGCAAATTGGCGGCTGAATGATGTCCTTTCAAAGAGGAACAAGTTTTTACACCTTAAAAATTCCCTCCCAGTTAAAAAAGTCGGCTCTTCTTTGGCGAATTGTACCACGTGTGGCTTCACGAGTGGGGAACGCCTGTGTGTGGAAGACAGACCGCACATCGCCGGAAATACCGGCTTGGCTTTGCGCCCTGGGACGGCCGTCTTTGCGCCGTTCATTTCCCAGAAGTTGGCTAATCCAGGTGAAACGAATCACTACACTCTGAACAATTCCCCCTCCCCCAGTCAAAAAAAAAAAAAATTGCCGGCACCTTGTTAGAAAGCATACTCCCAAATGCAGTAACTGCCGTCCAATCAAAACACAAGCGGAACAGAAACTAGGGCTACGGTCTTTAGCCAATTAAAATAAGAATTTGTGAAAGGGCAGTGACTGATTGGCCATCCTTTTTCAGTTCTTACATTCACTTAATCATCAAAGAATCTCCAACGGATGTAATACAAGAAGTGAATGTAACAAGAGAAGCATGCTGCCAATTCTTTGTGAACGAAGAGATACATTGTTATCAGATAGCTGTCAATCATTATTGGGAAGTTTTTTTTTTTTTTTTTTTTGAAAATAGACTCGGAATAAAATCGTCAGCCCCTGTTATTTTCTCAGAGAGAGATTATTTTCTCAGAGAGAGATTTACGTCTGGTTCTCTAATTTTTTTTAAAACACCCTAGTCCGTTACATTTTGAACATTCAGTTAATTGTTTTGTAGATTCCAGGGGAAAATTTAATATGAGGTAGGCTCGGGTTTTCGTATTTTTATGGGATTTGTTTTCTTTTCTTTTTCTTTGTTAAAGCAAAACAGTTTCAAAAACCCCAGCCCGTTAAATTGTGAACTCTAAGTTTTTCTTTTGTAAATTCCAGAAGAAATTTAATACGAATAATACTTTTAAATTTTTTTTTAAATGAATATGATCAAGACTAACAATAGCCCTTAAATTTAATACTGAACGTCAAAAGCAATGTGTACATGTTCCAAAATACATTCAAGAGTAGAATATTTAAACAGAATAATGTAAGCCATGCAGCTTTTTGTAATAAACGAAGAATAAAATCGTCACCCCTTTAATCGTCTAGGCCGCAGAGAGCTAGAGAGATACAACAAATAAATAGGAGTTATTTCAATGTGATATAATATGTCTCATTCTCTTTATATTGTTTTTTTTAATTTTAAGTAAAACGATTTTAAACACCCTTGCCCATGCATTACTTTCTGAATTAAGTCTCAGTTAATTCTTCTGTAGATAAAGGGGAATCATATTATCATAATACAAATGATGCAATAGTTTTGGAAAATAATTTTGAAAGGAATAAGAATAAGATTAACAAAAACCCTTTCACCTAATACCTAATGTCAAAATATATTCCGAAATAATTATATTCTAGAGCAACATTTACACAAAATATTGCAGGCCAAACGTTTTTTTTAATGAGCAAAGAATGAAATCTACTACGACAAAAAAAACCCCGCCAAACATAACGTGGCGCAACATTTAATAAATTATTTTGACTTGGAATATTAATCCCCCAAAATCTTCCCCGGTTTCTGAAAAAAGAATCTCAAATCAAAGCTCAGCTCCGAAATAGCCTTCCAGAAAATGATTGGTAGCGACATTTATTCAATGAAATTGATACAATACATCTCTTGTTTGAATTCAGCTGTAGGAAACCCGAATTTGTGACGTGCC